GCTATTCCTCGATGCTTCTTATTCCGAGGATTTACTTGGGGCAGTTCCAGTCAATTTCATTTTTGAGGGAGATGGTTTACATTATGAAGACATCTTTAGATACTGGATGTCAGGTTTCCAGATCGATCTATCAATTTCTTATATTAACATGTGCCCTGTTCATGGGTCTGAGGGTTCATGATTCCCTCCGTCCTCATGTACTTGAGGTGAAGATGGTATGATCCTCTTTCTTACCCCCACATGGATTGTCAGTATGTGGTGGCTTAGTTTTGAATTGTAGTTGACTTACTGATGGTATGATCCTCATCCTACACCCATGTGGATGTCGGTTCCCAGCAGCATGGGTTTTGGATGTGGTTGACTTGTCATGAACAGTCTGTCCCACCCTAGCTACTCTACACCTAGGACACATCCTTTTAATTTACTCACTTTTATCATTTCTGGGATAGAGTTGCATAAATATTATGTGGTTCAGATCATTATCTGTCCATATGTGCAAGATCTTTCTACGATGGGTGAAGAATATACCTGGTTCAGAAGTGGTGTGGTCCCCCACTTCAGATCTTAGAATCTGTCTCTTCTTAGGGAGTTTCCATTGGATGCTTTTAAAGAATTCTTCTTTCTTTTCCTTGCACAGGTCCCTCCACCTATTCAATGTTTAATTTTAGCTATTTTTGTGAGTGAAGGTAATGTACCATATCAGAAGTTATAATTTTCCTATACTGAAAATATACTTCCGATAGGTACTTCCCTCCTCTCACACTTCCCATCCTTCCTCCTTACTGAAAACTGGTGCTTCCATTTTCTACCAAAACTCGAAGAGATAGTTCGGTAGAATTGAATAGAGGGAGTCATGAGAGTATGTCACAGTTTTATTGGAAATTGGGGATTAGATTTGTGTCAAATTTTATTATTGTTAACTGGTTGCCTTTTCCTTCTCATGTTCTTCAGGGTAGGTTTTATTTTTGTGCTCTTTGTCTTATCGGTTCTTTGAGTGGACTTATAAGTTCGATATTTACATGTCTTTTATCTTCTTAATTCCTTTAGTGGTTTTGTACTTTAGGTGTTACTTATTGTTTTATGTTTTAGGTCGAATATCATAGTTTGCATGTTCATTACTTTTATTTACTTTGTAGACTACAAATTTCCAGGTTTTGTTAGTTCATTAGTAATGAGTAATTTCTCTAAGTATGTTTAGTTTATGTGTCTTTTTGGCTACACTTCATGACAGTTCTGTGGGTTCTACAGGTTCTGTCTAAAGGTGTCTGCCTTCAGTTCAGCTTCCCCCTTATCCACTTCCCAGATCTCCTTCCCTCCAGATCGTACTTCTTTCTTTTGTCTTTCCTAGTCTGTTCAAGACCTACTACACAAAGGGGCTGTCAAATGGGTGGTACCCATTCAACTGGGCTTTTACTCCCATATAATTGTTGTTCCTCAAAAGAATGGAGATTGGAGACTCGTCATAGACCTGTTCCAGTTGAACTCTTATTTGAAGCCTTCTTGCTTCTCCATGGAGTCCTTCCTCTCACTTGGAGTTTTTTTTTTCCTTGGGACTCGGGATGACCAAATCATTGTGATGGATGGCTGTCTTCATATCCCAACTGGTCCAGTGTCACGTTGTTTTCTTTAGTTTGTCCACGAGGGTCATGTCTTCCAGTTCCATACACTGCCATTCATTCCTTCTTCAGCTCTGTCTGTTTTATCAAGTGGTATGCTCTTTTGCCCGTCAGTTTCTCACCTCTTCCCATGCCCCATCAGTCAGTCATGCCTGCTTACTTCTTTGGGAAACTAATCTGGTAGGATTTTCTCATCAAGTTGGAGAAGTCCCTTATTATCCCATGCAATATCTTATTTATTTGGGGGTTCTTTTCAATTCCCATCTCACTTGGGCCCAGCCTTCTCCATTTCAGCTCTGGAATATGGAGCAGGCAGTCACGAAAACATTACCTTCTGCTCTCACTCCCTTGGGTCGGGTGCATATGCGTTCCCTTCAATGGACGGTTCTCAGTCATTTGAACTTTACCCATGATCTCTTGGACCATCCCATCACACTTCCCCCTTTGATCAGGGCCGACCTTGCTAGGTTGCTCAACAGGGACTTGACCACTGTGGGGGTTCCCTTTCTTCCACCTCGTCCTGAGTCTCATCTGTTCAAAGATGGTTCCTTGATGGGTTGGGGGCTTTCTTTACTTCTTGAGAGATTTCTGGTCGGTGGTTAGTCAAGGAGGCTACTCTCCATATCAATATCTTAGAACTTTAGGCATTTTGTTGGGCTCTGTATCATTTCCTCATACTCCTACAGGAGCAGGTGGTTCTGTTGTATTCTGCCAATTGCACTGTTGTCAGCTATATCACCAAACAAGGGGGAACCAAGTCCAGATCTCTGTGTTTTCAGACTCTGAATCTCCTGTACTGGGCCCACGACATGATAGTCCTGGTATGTCATGTTCCTGGAGTTATGAATCTGCTGGCTGATATCTTATCATTCCAAACCAGGTTCTCCCCATAGAGTGGTCCCTTCATGCTTTAGTATTTCAGTGAGTGTGTACTCAACTGGGAACACAGCATATAGATACATTTGCCACTCACTGGATTGCCAAACTTCCTTCTTTTTGGTCTCCAGTTCCATGCCCCTCAGCTCTGGGGGTGGATGCATTCAGTCAAAGTTTGAGGGGTCTTCACCTATATGTCTACCCTCCAATTAAACTCCTCTCCAGAGTCATTTCCCTTATCCAGACCACTCCTTGTTGTATTCTGTTAGTTGCTCTGTATTAGTCAGCTCAGATGTGGTTCCCTCTGCTCTGGCCCTTACTAGAGCAATAGCTCCTGCCCTTACCTCTGTCATGGTTGCTCCTCTGACAACTGTGATTGAACATATTTCATCACAACTTTACCAAACTCCACCTTCATGTGTGGCTTTTATCCAGTCCATCGTCTCAGCTCAGGGACTCACCCCTCATGTAGCATCTTGCCTTGCCTGTACCAATCAACCTTCCTCCTTGTTTGTGTACCAGAGGCATTGGTCTTCTTTCAGACTTTGGTCCATTCATTGTGGCTTCCATCCATCCTGTCCTGCTGTTCCTCATCTGTCCCTGTTTGATCAGGGTTTGTCTAGGTCAGCTGTTGCTAGTTATAAGGCTGCCTCTATCAAACACCTTCCATTTCTCCCATTTCCAGAAAACCTTCTCCTCCCCTGTTATTTCCCTCCTTTTCCATTCTTTCATCTGGTCCATCTGCCATGACCCTTTGTTCAGCCAGATTGGGATCTCAATGTGGTCCTTCATGCCCTGCCCGGTTTTCCCTTTGAACCCACTTCAACATGCTCCTTGTACCATCTTTCCCTTTAGACCTATTTCCTCCTCCTCCTGGCATGCAGTCATCGTCATTCTAATACTTATGCCATTAATGTTTCCCACATCCTTTACCATTTCTTGTATGTTATCCTCTATCCAGATCAGGCCTTCCTTCCCAAGACATTGGCTGCATGGGAAGGTTGTTTAGCCTTTTCTCCTATTTCCTTACGTTCCATTTCACACATGTACTCCCATTTGGATCTGAATCATGTACTTTGTCCAATTCATTCCTTTCGATGTTATGTGGCTCATACTGCCTCCTTTTGCTATGGAATTACTGTTTCCCATGATCTATTACCTATTATGTTCACTGGTTGAGTTTGTCAACTCATTCTGACTTGTCTATGGAAGATTGTTATCTACATAATATTTCTTTGTATCAAATTCGTCATCTAAATATGTCTTTTGATGATTGAATCTGCTGTCCTTTGGAAGAGATCATTCAAGCTGGTATATGGACAACTTTCAATACACTTGTCGCACATTGTCTGCATGACCTAGCTGTGCCTTCCTCGGGTGGATATTGTCTTCCTCCTGTGGCAATTCTACACATGTCTATTCACCTTTGACTGGGGTAAGTTGACATATTATTATTTCTTAATCCTATATATCCAAGGTGCTTCCTTTGGAGGCTTTATGCCCAGGAGGACTGCACTTGTTGATTTCAATATCATATGCAAGGCGTTTCCACTGGATGTTTTGCTCGGATGGATTGCACTTGACATATTCTTATGTAACCCAAGGCACTACCCTTGGCACATACTTATACAGGCCAGTTGTTGCTTCCACATTAGACTTTCAATGTTTGTCAATGCAGTGCTGTACATATCTTTCCTGAATGTATTGGTGCCTGCTGATTCAGTTCTGCCCTCTTATTGTTCCTGTGTTAATTCCCAGGCGTATAGCATATCTGTTCTAGAAGTAGTGCTACACCCCACAAGTATGCTAACACTGAAAATATATTTCCAATAGGTACTTACATCATCTCACCCACTTCCTACCCTTCCTCCCCACTGATGTGCCAGTTTTTCTGGTTTGTATCTGCCAATTCTGGAAAGTGAGGATTGTTCTATAGTAGTAGAGGGAGCTAGCTACACTAGTATAGATGGCACAGTATGATTGGTGAAGGGTATTCACATGATCAGCACATGTTCTGAAATGGCACAAAACTGATGGGGTATAAAAGACTGGTGTGCTGTTAGCAAAAAAATGTTACATTGCTTAGAGAGCAGTCTAGGATTGAGATAGCTTTGGGTGAGAGGAGATAAATACTTATTATCCAGTGTAAGAAAATGATAACATTGTTCTTTTGTCTGTAGACATCTACATTTTGAACAATAATGTAAGAGTTCTAAATGTCAGATTTTAATCTTATTTCACAGAGTGCTTGCTTTGGGGCTGGGGAATTAAAGTTAAAAAGTCAAAGGTCAAGATCAACATTTCAAAATGATAGAAATTTGATTTATGTATGAAAGAAAACATAACCACAAAATACAAAAACACCATATTAAGCAACTCATCAAATCCAGATCAAACAAATAGCTAATGGTCAAGAGGATTGACTTTTGTAATTTTATATCTGTTTTTAATTTTTCTCCTTAATAAAATTATAACTAACATTATTTTCTCAACTTTTGTTTTCATTAGGTCATTATGACAAGTGTGTGTCTCTGTTACGAGACAAACACAAGGATGATATGGAAACTGCTGTCAATAAAATTTTCTCCCACTTACATGTTGATAAGAAAAATGCACTAATTATTAAGCTGATTGTAAGTTTCATCTTTACTTTTTTACATTTCAACTTGTGTAGTATTGCAGTATTATAGATGTACACACACCAACATATACATGATCATTCCAGTAAAACTGTAACAAAACAATCTAAAATTATACTATTTATACAGAAGTATAAATGGTATCATTTTAAAATAAAAATGTTTGCTACCTTAGCACACCAAAACACATCAAAACAAGAGTTGCAAAACTACAAAGCAAGCTACAGATTCAATAATAAGTTAGAATCTGAGTGCTGGAACCCATGTTGTCTCAGATCCCACTGCCACTCATTGTTCATAACTGCTTGTGGGCATATCTATCCTGAAAGATCTCTTTCCCCTTAAAAGACCTCTAATGTAGATAAAGAGGTATCTCTATCCATGAACATTCTTGGGGGAAATCCTACCCCAAAAATAATTTCTGATCCTGATATCATACCCACAAACAGCTATAGATAGTGAATGACAGTGGAATCTGAGATTTTGTGGGTTCTAGCATCCAGATTCTAACCCCTTATTGAATCTGTAGCTTGCTTTCTAGTTTTGCATCTGTTGTTTTGATTATGTCTGCTAGAGAGAATATCCCCAATATTTTTCAGTGCTATGACTCTAAACATTATCACTTTAAAATGATATCATTTATACTTCTGTATAAATGGTATTATCTTACATTGCTTTGTTACAGTTTTGCTGGTATGATCATGTCTTTGTTGATACATATATCTGTAGCATAAATGTTGTAGTTTTACATAATTATCTCATCCGAGCCGTGCAGTGCTGAGTAATCACCTGTACACCTTTGATGTAATATATGTTTTTCATTATTTTGTTTTATGTCTTTCCTGGTGGCCCATATTTTTCCATTTAAATTTAGTTTTGCTTCTTGAATTCATTCATCATAGTCATATAGTACTGAATATTTGCTCATATGCTTTTGATGGAGATATATAGTAAACTTGTTATCTTTGTGTTTGTGTTTTTATATGTACATTTACAGAGTTTAGTACATTATATTAAAATGGATTTGAATAAGCAAGTTACGTGGATAACTACAGTTGATGTAAAGTGTGGTGGAATAGCAAGTATCAAAACTACATTTGACATTGTTTGGCATTTTGTAGCTAGGTGATGCCACCAAATATTGTTTTTGGAAAGGGGTATATAACAGCCTTTTCTGACACAAAATATTAATTGATTCAGATGATAAGGATGTTTTGAAATTGGATATTTAGAATTTCCAAGACAATGATATCTCTTGTACTTAATGGCATTGGAAAACAAAGGAATATGAATTAACTTTGGGAACCAGAACCATCCAGCAAGAGACCTGTAATAAGTCATACCCCAGACATGGTAAGAAAATTGGGGCATCTTATAACAGGTGAGAATCCATGAACTCAAAGGTTAGTGGCAAGAGCTATCATTGTGGCTCAGGCAACTGTATGCAATATAGTCAGAAAGCAAAGAGGAGTGGTGTACTTTGAACATGACAACTTTACAACTGAGCCTTTTACAGTGTAAACTACACTGTATGGCTATTTTCAAGATGCACAGTCATATAATAGAGCTTGTCCAAATGTGATGGTGCTCCAAAATTGTTTTAATATAATGTATTCAACCCTCTGTATGTATGTAATATACACACTTAACATTATATTTCCTTCTTATATTGACATAATGTTATTATCTCTTATGTAAGACACACATGTGATTGTTTATTATACTTTACATGCCATGTAAATCAAATGGACTTTGAATTCTATGTTACTGAATATCATACTCTATATACCATATGATTAACTATTATATGTTGCATGTCAAATGTTATTCCGATCAATTTACATGACACGTGAATCAAATGAACTTATATTTGCATTTTATGTGATTGTATGTCATACTTTACATGCATTGCAATTGGATGTTGTACCTTATATGTTATGTGATTGGATGTCATGCCTTAAATGAATTGCAGTTGAATACCATATTTTATATGATGTAATGTGATTGAATGTAAATATTTACAAATTGAATATCAAGTTGTGTGATTCAAATTGAATATCATATTTTACATGTAATGTGATTGAATGTAAATATTTACAAGTTGTGTGATTCAAATTGAATATCATATTTTACATGTAATGTGATTGAATGTAAATATTTACAAGTTGTGTGATTCAAATTGAATATCATATTTTTACATGTAATGTGATTGAATGTAAATATTTACAAGTTGTGTGATTCAAATTGAATACCATGTTTTACATGTAATGTAAGAATCTGTAATTACTTGATGTATTTGATGAAAACTCATTTTGTTTTGTTTTTGTTATTTTTAATAAACATATTTAGAAAAGATTATTTAATTTTAAAATTTTATATTCATACTCTGATTATCATGAATAAAGTTTGTATCACAGCTCATATCTGAACATTATTATGACACTAGCATCACAGTTGAAAAATCAGAAGCTAGTTATTTGTATAACAGAGTACCATATCTTGTTTGGTAATCAGAAATGCATTGTAACTAAAATATATGTGACATCTAAGTATGTATATGTGTTACATTGTTATTTCTTGTGAAAGTGTTATTGTTTTTTCAACTACAGGATCACATTTGTACTCACGAACCTGGTATAACTGATGAGCTGTCTGACATATTACAAGAGCTCACTCACTTAAACAAGGACGAAAATGCTCGGGTTGCCTTGCGAGCCAGACAGGTAAAACAAATTGCTGTCTTATAATACATTGAAAGTACAGATATAGTGAAACATTTGCCTTTTTTGATCACAAAGATTTTAACATCAATCTCAATAGATGTTTTTCTGGAACTTCTTTTGCATTTTTACTCCAAATGTGCAGTTTAGTTCTAGTATAGAATCACTGTTTAAAGCAGGTCATCAGTAATAAGTTTATATATATTACAGTGGATTCATTATAAGCAAACCATACTGAATCAGTAAGATATGAAGTTGTAGTTAAATATTTTAAAATGTGAGTTGTTGCAATGCCACAAGAAAAACACTTGTAACATGTATGTATAACCTCTATACATAATTAATTAATGTATGTGTTATAGAACAGGCTCTCTTTCATTTTGCAGATCACCAGTTTAGTTCTATAATTTTTATGTCTACGAAACTAGAGACTCAGATTTGAAATATTAGTAACAAAGCTTGTTTTTACAATGAAGACTAATTGCACACTACGTAGTGATTGGTGTTTTATCATATACATGTAACCAATCATACTAAGACTTGAGAAATAAGAGTCTTTTGTTGGATTTATCTAAGTATAAGTATTAAGCTGAAGGTACTTGTAACTTATTTTCCAATAGTCTGTTTTAATTATTTTTTAGATGTTGAATATATTTTTTTTTAGTTTAGAAAAGTACTTTAATATGGAAAATTTTTAGTCAGCTTTGAGAAAAGAAATATGGCTTTTCTTTTGAGATTCAAACATTAACTTATTTGTTAGAACACTGTAAGTTATGGTTTAGGACATATTAAGTGTCAGGTTAATTATTTATTCAGTTTTTTTGAGAGTTAAGAAAATATATAATTTCAATGTACATTTAAGTTATACTTGGTGGGATACATATTGATATTCAGCCAAAATTACTTGTTGAGATGTAGGTTATCCTTTAATAAACCTCATTCACATTTGACAGCTGTGATCAAGATGTATTAACCCAAGTTCACTCTTTTGGAATTACATAGTTCAACAGCTGTTTATCCATAGGGTGTTCAATCTATTTAAAGTATCTGTATTGTTTTCTAACAATTAGCACACTTGTGTAAAGGAACCAAACAGTTCATTCTGTAATGTGGATTTTTATTTGTAAGATTGTGAGGGATATGTTTTGAAAGTTACCTTCTTTTGTAGATTTTAAGAAATATATATATATATATATATCATTAGTGCAACTCTTTTAAAACTATAAGCATTTCACTTGTTTACGGATGAATTGAGTCATTTGTTAAAGATTTAAATTAGAACTTGGGCTTTGTACATTATAACACATACATAATGTGCAGTTACACGTGTAAAAGAGACTAATGACAGATTGTAACCTCAGGTGTCACATATGTATTTCAACTTTATAGATGTGAGTTTGAAAAATAACTTTCTCAGCACGGCCCGGCATGGCCAAGTGGTTAGGGCGCTCGACTCGCAATCTGAGGGTCGCGGGTTCGAATCCCCGTCCCGCTAAACATGCTCGCCCTTTCAGCCGTGGGGGCGTTATAATGTGACGGTCAATCCCACTATTCGGTGGTAAAAGAGTAGCCCAAGAGTTGGCGGTGGGTGGTGATGACTAGCTGCCTTCCCTCTAGTCTTACACTGCTAAATTAGGGACGGCTAGCGCAGATAGCCCTTGTGTAGCTTTGCGCGAAATTCAAAACAAACAAACAAACAAACTTTCTCAGCAAGGATTGTACAAACATTAGTAAAAAAAAAGTCTTACTTGTATGTTTTCTAATATTTAAATTAACATTCATGTTTATGAATGTCTTGTTCAATGACATTCTATGCAAACTGTTAACATGCATTTATTTGAATAAAATGTACAAACTGAATTGTGTTACTTTACTTATTTCTGATATCAACCTAGATGTTTTTCATGCATTTCAGAAAGCATTATTAAACAGTTGATTAAATGTTATTTGATATTTGTATGTATTTACATACATTCTTTTAATCAGGTTCTTATAGCAGCTCATAATCCAGCTTACGAACTTCGTCATAACCAAATGGAATCAATTTTCCTCTCGGCAGTCAACACCTATGGTCATGATTCGCATCCTGAAAACCTACAGAAGCTTATAATGTCAGAAACATCCATTCTTGACGTCCTTCAAGACTTCTTCTTTCACAACTATATCATTGTTCGCAGAGCAGCTTTAGAGGTAGGCACATGCCTCAGAATCTCTGTACTCGAGATAAAAGCCATATAATAGTTTACATAAAAAAGCAAAATGAGAATACTCACATAGTTCTATCAGCCATCTGAATGTTAGAATTTACTTTTAAGAACTTATACAATTGCAATGTCAGAAAATAGGATGACATAATCATCCTTACAGAAAGTTTTATTTTTCAAAGATAAATAGTTCCCGTGAACACAGCCATGTAAACCAGAAAAATGAATATAAAATAATAAGAGTGAATTGTTTAGTTTCATAAAGTGTGCATTAAAAAAAGTAATTAAAATAACTATTGAATTACATTTGTATATAATATATGATTATTGATGAATTAACTGACAGTTGTTAATCACTGGAGTTTGATCTAGTTAAACAACTTCTAACTCAACTTTTTCAAGAGCAACCTCATCATTGATTGGTAAACTTGTAGTCAGTGGTTGTTTGGTGAAATCAATTATGTCCAAAATACTTCATTCTACACTTCAACAAATGAAAAAAAGAATAAATTACCAGAGTTTAAGAAAACTTTGATAGACTTTAAATAGCTCTAATTGCAAAATAATTGATGGAGGTCTTCCTACCTGTAACAAGAAACAGACTTAAAAAAAAGGAAAACCTTCAGAATTGAAATTTGGACTGTTAGATTTTGGCACTGCTTGTAACAGTAGCATGGTATTTGCAAAACTAAATGAGTTGTATAAGTATTTGTTAATTTTGTAATCAGAATTGTATACACAACATTAAATATTGATAAGATTACAGAAGCTTTATAAGACTTAAGATTAGAAATATAACTGTGAATAAAATGCATACTTACTAACTATTGCAATAGTTGGTAAACTACTGATCTTGAAACTGTTTTCCACCACTTTGATCTTTGAGAATACTTAATTTTAGGAATAAATTAAAAACTTTTTTTCAACGTTTTCACAAATTACTTATAAATGTCTTGGATGCTCCTTATATCACTATACCATACTTCAAAAGTGTCACCAGGTGTATATGTTTGTCCCATATGTTGGAAAATTGCATATTCAGATGTTTTTCAAAAACAAGTGCATGACTACCTAATTTTTTTCACTTTTAAATGATGGCAAGTATGGATTTGAACAGGTCATTAATAAGTTGTATGAGGCTTTTTTATTTGTTATTGCTGCACAGTGTGTTGATACATCTTGGATATATATAGATCTTATAAATATCTTTTAATTTGACTGATATCCATAATATTATCTGTCAGGTAATATCAATCTCAGCAGTAAGTTGCTTGTTAATCTTAGGTCTATGTGAGGCGAAGCTACACTGCTTACGAACTTTCATCCATCCAACATCTTCAGCTACCATCAGGACTTTGTGCAGCTCAATTCCAGTATCTCCTCCCTTCATCACATCCAAACAGGTGCTGATAAAAACGAATAGCAAACAACTTCCATGTTTATGACCTGGATTATAAGTATTGTGAGGGTTACTGTAACAACCTTATTAGCATTCTTCTGATTCCATGGTTACCATTTTTATTATTTTGGCTGTTAACAACCACACATTTATTACTATGATAATTTTGTCATGTGTTATTAACACTGTCTTAGGAACTGTTGTCTTAATAACTTTTGACTACCAGAAGATAATTTTCAACCATTCTCATTCAAAATTAAGAGCATTTTGAATTCATATTAAATCAAAATACTTTAGATTAGAAAAACTTTTCCAAATTTTTAAATGGCCTGGAAAACATTCAAATATCTATAAAACCAGGAGCAGACTTTGCTTTTGTCTCATTTTTTTTCTCCATATTTCTTCAGTAGTAATATAAAACCAAAAGCTATGAATAGTTTCTGCACGTGTTCGTTGGTTCATGTTTCAAGAGTTATAAGTTTTGCTGCATCAAGTCTACACAAATATGAATAAAGTGTTAAATGGGCATAAAAAAAGACTAGCCAGCTAGATGGAGATGAATGTGATAAGATATTTACTCTTTAATGGTGTATGAAAATATATTACAGAGATAGTACAAACTGTATTTTTTTTAAATTGTATTTATGAGCAATTATTGAGTAATATAATGTGTAATGTAAATTTATAATTTGTATATATTTTTGTAATCCTAAATTATCAACATATTTCTAAAAGGAGCTTTTTATGTAATATTGCATGAAATGATTGAAAACTGCTTGTTTTTTGTATTCATCATATGATACTGTAAAGCAGAAGATTCAACAAGTAATCACCAATGGATTAATAGTATTTATTGTGATAAAACAAAATTACAGACATCAATTTTTTATATATTTTTTCAGAATGGCTCAATCTAAATCTTTGGTATCAAGTCCAGACAGTGGTAGCGTAGTAGAACTTGATTCATTCTTCATGTTAGAGACATGTCAGAGAATGGGTGTTATCTCAGCTTTCACTTCATTTGAACATTTTGCAAGGTATATAATATTTTTAAGTGTCATCATATAATTAAAATCTTAAAAAATACTTTAAGTTTTTATGCTGCTTATAATTGAGTATCATTGTTTTTTCATTATTTTAGTTGTAGTTAGAAACATGTTTATCATTAAAAAAAAAACGTTTCAGACCTTCTATTGATGAAAACTTGATATTCCAATATAATACCTTACCTCCCTTCACATAACAGCTTTCCTTGATTTGTGCTGCCCTATATATCTGAAGGTTTCACTCACCACTAACTTTGATGCTCCCACCTACCCTCATATGATTTCTCATGGTAAAGCTGCACTGTAGCATGCAACAACCCTCCACCAAAAGGAGTGCAACGCACCCTCCTAACACAGCTGATCCCCTCTATACTGTAGAGTACTAACATCACTTCTCAATTTGACATTCTAGTGTGCAGTCATGCTCAATTTTTGCCTGCACTTTCAGTTAATTCTAATATGTTTGACGACTTTTAGATTGTCATTTAATATGCTGGTTACTTGATATTTGTGGTTTATTTTTATTTTTAATTTCCACGTAAACTCAGATTTTAATGTTACTACAGTGCCTTCTGTTATGGTTCCAGCCACTAGTGATCCACTGCCACTTACAATTTCTGTAGCTTTTGGGTTTACTATTTCTACAGAGGAAGTTTCAGTCATGAATGGGAAACTATCATTGGTCAATGTCTTGGATGCTTACCTTCATATCTCCATCTCTTCATCATCCACACTACACAAACTGCCTCTCTTCTGGTCTCGAGTTTCACATCCTTTGGCTTTGGATGACTTCAGTCAAAATTGGACCAATCTTTACTTTTATGCTTATCCTCCTATCCATCTTCTTTCTCATGTTCTCTCCCTTATCAAGGCCACTCCATGATGAGTTCTTCTAATTACCCCATTCTACCCTGCTTATCCATGGTTTCTGATCCTGAACCTCCTTCATTTGTCCCCTCCCATACCTCTTTCACTTTCCCAATCCCTTCTATATCAACCTCATTCCCCCATATTTCATTTTGTCATCATCACCTCATTCTATCTTCGTGTGGATTTTGTCCATTCCATCGCAAGACGATCTGGAATCTTTAGGTGAATAGCATCTCTTCTTTCTCACTCAGTCCACCATTCTTCTATAAATGTTTACCAGGGGAAGTGGTGCATTTTCTGGAGTTGGTCTTTGCACCATGGTTCCTCATCTTCCCTACCTAGTATTTCCCACCTTTCCAATTTCTTTACTTGACTCTTTGGTCATCATAGGTCCAATATCTTTGCTATTGATGTATCTTGTATCCTTTATCACCATACCTGTCTTCTCCTTAATCTGGATTGTAGTTTTATCCTGAAGACATCAGCAGCATATGAAAGGGACATCACCTTCACTCCTATTCTCCCCTCCCCACCTCTCATTTGTACTTACATTGTAATCCTGATCATTTTTTTTGTCCAATAAGTGCTCTGCATTGTTATGTTACCTGCACTGCTTCCTTCCATGGAGCTTGTTCCCATCTTTTTTATACCATGGAATATTTCCTCTGCCCATGAACTTTCTCTTATCACCCTTACCAGATAGATTTGCCAACTTATTTGTCTTGCGTATGCATCATTATCTGAGGATTCTTACTGTATTTTCCAAGTCTCCTCCCACCAGATACGTCATGTCACCTTTTCCCTGGCTGTCCATTTCCATTGCCCATTAGAAGAGATTGTGCAGGCTATCAGGTTGACCACGCCTCACACTTTTATAGCCCACTATCTGCATTATTTGGCCATTTCCTCCTCATCTGTCTGTCACTTACTGCCCATTGCCATTTTCCATACTTCATTTAGACTCTGAAAGGGTAAGTTTTCCTTATGTTTTCTTTCCATTCCAGTGGCCTTTTCTCTTTTCCTGGAACTTGCTCTGTGGTGAATGGTGCTTGTTTAGGTATACTTAAATGTAAATCTGCATTATATGGCTGTACAGGTCTTTAATGCTCATTGAGGAGATGGTGTGTTCCACGAGACTGCTGGAAGTTGCATCATAAACAAAGCCTGCACCAGACCATACCAACACACTGCTTATCATGAGTAAAGCAGTGTTGGGATCACTGCCCCTCCCTCTGATCCTAGTTGAATAAACTGGGACTGACCTGCTTTTCAAAATAGGGTTTTCATGGTCACCCATTGCACAGTCTTACAGTGTTGTGTTCTTTCAAACTCCTCACTGCATTGTCCCCCCCTCTCCCAGTGGAGTGTGGGAGTCCTTACCACATACCAGTCACTAGCTGCTGGGATGGTGGACCATGGAGGCTTAATCCTAAGTGTGATTAATTCCACTCAGTTGAGAATAGAACAGTGATGTTCTGTTGGTGAGTACTCTCCTCCTACTGTGGTCACAAAGAAAAATTCCTGATGCCGTCTGGTTTTGTGCTGGACGAATCCACCACATGCAGATCACATCTCTGGCTGGTTTTCCCCCATCCTACTGCTTCCTGGGTGTTGGTTTCCAGGTAGTCTGGTGTTGAATCGGTAAAAGACCAGCCAACATAAATCCTCACACATGTGGTTGGTAGAGACTTTTTCTTACCAATGACTGGAAGACAAATACCCAATGCCACCTGGTTTTGGACTGAAGTTGACCCACCGAATACAGTTTGGCACCCTAGCCACTGTACACCATCTGGCACGTCCAATTACAGATTTGATTTATGTCTGTTTCTATCTAATTTAGTGATACATATCTTTTACAACAAGCAAAGAGTATACCTGGTACAGATGAGGTGCTGTCTCCCATGGGTTTGATGCTATACCCTTCCGAAAGGTGCTTATCTTGATAACTTTTGCACCAGTTCCTCCCCCATTTCAATATGAAAATCTAGCTATTATGTGAGCGGAGGTAAGGTATCATATCAGGAATTAACATTTTCCTAAATTGAAAATCTATTTACAACAGATATTTCTTCTGCTTACACTTCCCACTTGTCCTCTCCACTTCTGATGCATCTTTTGTGCCTAATATCGAAGTGATGTTAGTGATCTACAGTATTTAGGAAATTAGCTGTGCTAGGAAGGTGTGTATTGTACTCTTGTTGGTGGAGGGTTGTTGCATGCTCATTTACACACTACAGCACAGCTGTGCCATGGGAAATTATGTGAGGGTAGGTGGGAGCATCAAGGCTAGTGGCAAGTAAAAATTGTGCATATAAGGGGTAGCACAAGTCGAGAAAAACTATTATGTTAGCGGAGGTAAGTACCTGTTGGAAATACATTTTCAGTGTAGGAAAATGTTAACTTTGAGATACTTGTAGTAGTTACATATTATTATGATGAACTATGTTTTATGAGGAGTAATGACATGAGCTACATGAAAACTAAAGGTCCTTATGAATCTTGATTGACTGAAATAATCATATTAAAGCTATTTTTAAGAGAAAAAATTATCCCTTGTCTTAAGAATTTTGAGCATCGAATATAAAAAAAATCTTTGGTAAATAACATTTCTAAATGTAGTAACAGCTAAAACATGCGTTCTAAATTGTAGTAATAGCTAAAACAGTGGTTCTATATTGTAGTAATAACTAAAACATGGGTTCTAATTTGTAGTAATAGCTGAATATAGGTTTTAAGTTTCAGTAGTATTTGAAACATTGGTTCTAAGTTGTAATAGTTAAAACATGGGTTCTAAATTGTAGTAATATCTCAAACATGGATTCTAAATTGTAATAACATATTAGTCTCAATAAAGTAAAAAAAAACTTTGTACAATCTTTATGTGTTTTTAATTACCAACTGTATTAAAGAAAATTGTAGTTAGACTGTACAATAACTGACTAGTAATGATTTAATAAACTTCCCTTTATATTACATTATAGCAATTTTGAAGAGTTGATGGAGCTTTTCTATGAATCCCCACCACCAAGTCCAAATCTGTGGGAGGTTGATTATACCAGAAGACGATCCTCTACATCATTTTGTGATATCCAGCTTCCATTGGTTCAGCCTAAACATATACTAACTATTGCTGTTACTATGCCAGTTGAAGAGGATGATGAAGATCTTAGTGAGAGATTTCAGAACTTTTGTGGAGAAAAAGTAAATACTAACCTATTAGCTTTACTCGCACAAAATTTTAATGTTAAACCAGCAAACAAAATTAATTTCTTATTAATCAAGAAACTGTTTTAACTTGTGATACTAATAAAAAACTGACCTCATAATTTTTTAATAATGGCTTTGTAAATTTGTTAGAAATATGCAATTATACACACTTCGCTTTATTTAATAAACTGTGGGATCAGTGTATTAGACAAAAATCAGACCTTTTAAAATAATTTCTTATTCTTATTTTTGAGAACTTACATCAACCTAACATGTTAATTTTATGCTACTTCAAATTTTTGTTTACTTTAAATGAGAACAAAAGATATTAATTACAACAGTGCTAGTACAATTTTCCTGTGTTTACGGAATCATTATTATACATTCTTCTTGTATCTGTAGAAATAACAGATATTGTGAGAAAACTGTCAAAATCAACTGAAGAAATCAGTAAAAACTTGTTTTCTTTTAAATTACTCTCAGAAATATTTTACCTTTATATACAAACAGCATAAGCTTGATACAACTGAGTTTGTTTTTATTTATTTTTTTCCATATTGAATAATCGTAGTTAGATAAAGTAAAGAAAAAAATTGTTTTTTCATATATTATTTATAGAATTTGACATAATAATTGTATTTAGTGCAATTTGGTAAATGTAATGTTAAATATTATTTTACTACAAGAATAACTGATAAGTTTACAGGATGCAGTACATATTTCAGTTTTATGCAAAGTCTGACGTGTTGATAGCACTTCAGTGTTTTTTATGTATTTTTTGCAAATATTTTTGTAATGTTAAAAAGTTTTATTCTCATATTTTTAAGAGGGAGATTCTAAAAGAAAACTTCATACGCAGAGTGACTTTCATGGTTATTCAAAAGGTAATGGAATCTAATTCTTAATTTTTATTGTTTTTTTTATACCTGTATATTTTCTGTATTCATCCAGTTTTGTGAGAATCATATGTATTATATGACAATTCTAAAAAGGTTTTTACAACTTGAAAGGAATGTTGAAGTTGTATATTTTGAGTAAGAAACTGTTTTAGATTCTTTTAGAAAAATACTAATTTTTTCCTAATTTTTCATTTATCTTTAAACCTAGTTATTTTTCTAGTTTCTTTCAGAGAATACTTCTTTTCACAAAAACTTAGTTTACTTGTAAGTTTGTGTTTTAATTACCAAAGAGAAAATGAAATATTTTGAGTATATTATAAAACATGATCAAAAAACAATATAGACAAACTTGCAAGTGAAATATAGCAGCTAATTTGTAATTACTACTGATGATCTATTTGAAGATAAACTACACCTGTATTAATTTGCTGTGCTTTTTCTTTAGTTTATACTCAATATTGATTAATTTTTCAGCACAACTTTCCTAAGTACTTTACTTATCGTGACAGAGATATGGTAAGAATTTTTTGATTTCCTATTTATAATTTTGTTTTGAAGATTTTAATTAAATGTATTTTATTTCCTAAAATTTCTTGTCGGGAAACATTGTTACAGCTTGTACTTAAGTCCAATCGATTTATGTTTAAAATCACTGAGCCTGAAGATTTGAATTATTTTTAGACCTGCACTACTTGCCTTCCTTTAAACATTTCTATAATGTAGATATAGATAAATTTAAAATACTGTTTGATTTTTTCGTTGTTGCTTTACAATTAGTTAATACTGCTTATTCAAAATTACTACAGTTTAAAAATGGTAAATGTCTGATAAGAAGTCCAGGAATAAACACATTTCCACCTTGCTTATCTAGTAATGTTGAACAAACACTTTTTAAAAGATAAAAAAGCAAATAGAAAAAATCAAAACCCATGGAATTATAAAATTATTTGACCTTTAGAAAGATTACATCTTTCTTATTAGTTATTTATGTAAATTTAGATATTTAACTCAAAATTAAAACGTTTGAGCAACTTTGTAACAACAAAGTCTTTAAATCGTTTTATTTTGTTTTTTTCACATCACATTAGCATCTTTGTTTTCTTTAGTTTTAACTGCTCCTTCAACTTTCATTTGGTTAAAACTATATATTTAAATTTATTTTTATTCTGTTTCTTTTGCATAAATATTTAAACAATATGTTTTAGGGCCACTCCTCAAATTATCTGAAAGTCATATATTTGAATTCCAGTCTGGTTCATTGTATAATATGAACTTTTGTTAATATTCTTTTTTAATATTAGCCTATGTTAATATACTTTTATTTTTTTAGTTTGGAGAAGATCAAATTTACAGGCATCTTGAGCCAGCTTTGGCTTTTCAGTTAGAGATCAATCGTCTTCGTAACTATGAACTTGAAGTTATTCCTACAACCAACCAAAAGATGCATTTATATCTTGGAAAAGCAAAGGTAGAGGGGCAAAATAATTAGATATTGGAACAAAAATTAAATATATAATGTGCAAAATTTTAAAAAGGATAAAACATAATTTAAATATTTATGTTTTTGAAATAATAGAAACTTTTTTTCAAATTGGGATCTGTGACAAAGAACTGCATTTCACTATTATTTTGTTTCATGAAGTTATATTTTAAGTTAAAAAAGAATTTTGTGATGAAGTATGCTTTTAATTTAAAAAAAGGAAATTCATAAAGCTGTGCTTTTAGCTATAAAAGTATGATAATATTTGTTTATACTTCATTATACTTTTGTATCATAAATTCTTTGTTAGTTATCAGTTATATTCTAAAATTTTATTCTACATGTTTTGGTAATTTGCTTTATAAATATGGGAAATAACAGTACTCATATATACTTTTGGATATGGATTTATCCAAAACAGTCCTTATTAGTGCTAGAAATTAGCAAAGCTTGTATTAGATATGGAAATAAATAATTTAGAAAATAGATCATAAAGATTTTGTATTTTTCTGTAGTTTGCTGTGATGTGTTATTTTATATATTTGTAGGTATTAAAAGAACAAGAGGTAACTGACTACCGATTTTTTGTTCGCTCCATTATACGACATTCAGATCTAGTTACAAAGGTAACTATCTTTAACTGATGTTAAACCATTTCTGTCTAAATGACTTTGCAATATTATGTTGTTGTTCGTCCTTCGAAGTTCGAAGAGACCACGACATCATTTGGTCTATCTGTGGATACGGAGATGGCTCAGGAGTCCTATCTGAGCCAGGAAGCCTCGACCACATTATAATTGAAGTTTAAATAAGGTGTATGAGCTTAATATAAAAGCTGTTTATACTTTCCAAGTTTTTGTTCCAAATATGTGTTTGAATAACAAATGGATTTAAAAAATGTAAATTGTAAAACAATGAAAAAAATGAGTGCTGAGACATGTATTTTATGTATTTGTTGGAATTTAGGAAGCATCTTATGAGTACCTTAGAAATGAGGGAGAAAGATTACTTTTGGAGGCATTGGACCAGTTGGAAGTTGCTGTAATCAGCCACCCTTATGTAAGAAAACGTTAAATAACAAAATCTGAATCTGTAAATGATTTGAAATTAATGCAGTGATTGTTTAAGATGTTTGTACTTTGAAATATGAATAACTCGTTTGTAGATAAAACAGAACTCGTGAGTTTGAAGAAATGGTATGTTTGTAACATACATGATAGTGGTGTTGAAAATATATATATCAAGGCCTATACTAGATCCATCTTAATTCAAGCTATGATTGATATACTTAATTAATTTAATCCTGATTCAGTAAACCAGATTATAACTGTCTGTTAGTTCTGTTAAACTGAAATCTTGCATTTAAGCATTGTCATGATAATGAAAAACTGTAATGTGTTCTCACTTAACGCTAATTTGAATATAGTGGTTATTAGCATTTATTTTTAGAACTATATTCCAAATCTACCTGTTTCTATACCATTTATAAAAGTTGAAAGGCAATCAGTTTCTAAGCTGTTATTAACAATATAGAAATTATCATTTGAATTGTTTTTATCTGTTTGAATGCTGTTGACTTCCACTTTATTTCTGTATGTTTAATTATTGTCAGTTTTTACATTATTTTTATCATTTTAAATAGCATATCAGTTTCTATGTTATTTGTGTTACTTTCTTTAATATGTTTTATCATTTTAAATAACATATCAATATCTATGTTACTTATGTTATTTTCTTCAATATTTTTAACATTTTACATAACATATCAGTTTCTATATTTGTATCAGTTTAGAAAGCAATTCAAGACCATTATTTCTTACTGTCAACATAAATGTGTTAATGTTCAATATTGCTGTAAAATTGTTGTCAAGAATAATAAAAAAATATAACAAATTTATATTGCTAGAATTTACTTGCATTTAATCTGTATTTAGTTTTAGTTTTAAACCAGTTATCTTCTCTACTCATAGCCTTAGTATCTCTCTGTTTTTCAGGCTAAATCAACAGACTGTAACCACATTTTTCTCAATTTCATTCCAAAAGTCACAATGAATCCATTAAAAGTAAGTTCTTTTTGTCAAATTTAACAGTTAAAATAATTTTCAGTGAACTATGAAAAATATCTTATGGATCAACATCACTTTAATATATGGAGTGATTAGTAAATGACTTTTGATTGTAATAATTCATAAAAATATGGGATCGTATGGTAACCAAGTAACTTCAAATTTGGATTAAACTTCAACATAACATATATTTTAAGTTTATTTTTCAAAAGCATTTTGAATATAATGAGCTTTGAAATACACTATAATGCATCATATTTAAATCCATGAGATGATTGTTCTTACAAACGCATCTTAAAATATTGTATACTTATAGAAATGAACATCTTACACAGATAGTAAGTTTTCTAATGTAATTTAAAGCTGAACATTTAAAACTGGAAATACATCTTGTTAGAAGAGCCAAATCTTGTGTTGTTGAATAAAAAAGAAAATCTGATACTATAATGAATATTACTCTTAAAGGTATGCAATAATAAGTGATAAAAAATACCTTACAGATTGTTGAAAATGTGACTGATATAGTGATGAGATATGGTCCTAGATTATTGAAACTTCGAGTGTTGCAAGCTGAACTGAAAATGACTATAAGGTAGGAAATTATCACTTTTTATCGTAATAATAAATTGTTCTGTCAGATTTTTAGCCAAAAGCACAATTTGAGAATCAGCAGCCATTCATGTATGGTGTAATTCTCTGAAAGTTTATGAATTGTACTTACTTTCTGAGATGATTTTTGTTGTTGTTTTAGATCAGAGCTGCACAATGGACTATCTGTCCATCTTGAGGAATCGAACCACACCCCACTGTTTTAGTGTTAAAAATATGTAAACTTACTGTTAGCCCCACCAGGGTACCTTTGAGATGGACTTTTTTACTTTTTATAACGAAGAATAATCTATTTAATAATTTTTATGTTATAAGGTGTCCTTAACATAAGTCATTCCTGTGAAAATATTATATGGTGGTGGTATGTGATAGTCATTGGATATTATGTGGGGTATAGATGCATGTGAATAGTAATCCAAGTAATTAATTAGAATTTTGGGCAATAAATGATGCTTATGACAAATAAATTGAGTTAATGACTGAATAAAGGGCTTTTGTCAAAGAGATTATATCAAGTTACTTTTAAGTTAAAAACAATTTTTAGTTTAAAATTAATTTCATTTCAAAAATAAAATTAAGGTGGGCAAGACTGATATTATAAATGTGTGAACTGCTAGCTATGATGGTTGTAATTTTAATTAAACAGTTTAAAAATTCCCTGGATTTTTGTACGTAAAATAAATTATACACACATAAATATATGTATATAAGAATTAATTTTTGTTCTGAAAAATCTACTTTCCATAATTATATTCAACTCTGATTTTTTTCTTTTCTTTTTGTTCCTGTAATATACTGATGAATTTAGATTATAATAAGTTTTTATGATTTGGTACAATGTGAGTCATTGTAAGGGAAACAGTGATTAATTGTTTAAAAAATAACTGTTTAGAGTCCTGTATACCATTAAACTGAATAGATAATTTCTTGCATACCATAAGTTAATAATGAGGTTGTGTCTGAGAAATGTAATATCAATTTATACCACTTTTCTAAGCTTCCTTTACACTGATAATTGAAGATACACGTATCTATTATTTTGAAAAATACATTTTTTTTTGGCAAATAATTTTGCTACAATGTTAAGAGCATTTAAGAAAGATAGAAAAAAAAAAGAAATCCATGCAAAATTGTTTTCTCATTTAGTATTTGTAATGGAAAATGATCTTGGATACTTCCACTTTCCACAAATATGCTTAATAGTATAGAAGTTAGTACTAAATTGGAAGTTTGTTTCTTGTATGATAGATAAATGGTGAATGGTGGTGCATTAAACTAAAAAAATTGTAACCTGCTTTGTTATAGAAGTTTATTTTTCAGAAAATTCATTCAAATAATACTTCAGTTTCCTGCTAGTCTTGTTTCTTTCTCTAGGGAATCTCACAATGAAAAGTGCATCCCGGTCCGTTTGTTTGTGGCCAATGAAAATGGCTATTACCTTGACCTTGATTTGTATAAAGAAGTAACAGATGCTGAAACTGGCCAAATTAAGTTTGAGGCTTTGGGACCCAAACATGGTCGTCTGCATGACCAGCCCATCTCCACACCATATCTGACTAAAGATTACCTTCAACTGAAAAGGTTTCAGGCACAGTCAAATGGAACCACATATGTTTATGATGTTCCTGACATGTTTAAGCAAGTAAGTATAATTTAGAGTTAATATCTATGAAGTATGTGGGACAACATATGCTTATGATGTTCCTTATATGTTTAAGCAAGTAAGTACAATTTAGAGTTAATATCTATGAAGTATGTGGGACAACATATCGTTGTGTCAGCGAAGTCACATGACTAGTGTGATG